GCTGTTTCTACGCACCGACACGTCGCTGCCGCCGTTCTACGTCCTCATCTACGTCGACGACCTCGTCTTGTAACATCTGAGCATGCTTCCATGCCATCCTCCTCACTTCTGGGTCCAGTTCTACGTATACCCACTTCTTTACCCTCAGGCCTGCTTCCAAGGCTGCTGCCAAGCCTGCTCCTATTCCCCCGAACAGCTCCACTAATGTAACGCAATACTGATCCAGGTGAGCGCTGACTTTACTCTTCCCAGCACTTCCACTCCTCCCGCTGTCCTTTCTTAGTCCCTCTGCTCTCCATGCCTTCTTAGGTTCTGTCTTGACAATCCGTACAAGTAGTTCACTCAGCTCCTTTCCTTCCTCCCAAAAGTCCGAACGGTAAAGCACCTGCTCTTGCCAGGTACAAATAGTAGTGCCTATCTTAAACAGCAGCTCCATTCCCAGTAGAATATCGTAGTCTTCTGATTCAGTTAACCCACACTGCACCCTGATGGTCGTCTCTCCCTTCTCTCCCGGCTGTAAGGTTATCTCTATCAGATCTCTGGTGCACGGCATCCACTTGGGGGCCCCGCCTTCTGCAGTCATGATCAGTATGCCCTTACTCACTGTCTCTAGGTTCCCTTGCGCTCGCAGCTGTTCCGTCAGCTTCCTCCCGATCAAGACACTCTGCGCTCCTGTATCTACCACCTCGTTCTCTACTAAGATTCCTCTGACTGCCACTGCTTTTGGTTCCACCACCAGGGCCGTGGGCTGACAGACGAGACTTTCCTCTGGGTGACGCCGTGCGGTGCTAGCATTCCCTTTCCCTTCTGGCCGCCTGAAATTTCTCCGCTCCTGTGGTTTCTGCTCCGCTCTGCCATCCACCCCTCCGCTGCGTAACCCCAGATCTCCCCGCTCTCTTGGTGGCATAGCCATGGTCCCGTATTCAGGTCGGCGCCTTGGGGCAGTCGCGCCTGAAATGTCCCTTTTCTCCGCAGGTGTCGCATATTATCCCCACCGTACAGTCCCTTCGAAGATGTCCTTGCTCTCCGCATTTATGGCAGCGTCTTGATCTTCTGACGGCCTTTCCTTCCGCTCTTCCTCTGCCCTTCTGCCTTCCACCGCTGCCTAGTCAGGTCATCTCCGCTCGTTTGGTCGGCTGGAACTCGACCCCTGTATGCCATGATAGAATCTCTTCCCTTCCTCCACTTCCTTTGCCACTTTGTATACTTGCCGGAGCATCGCTCATACTCCCAGGGCGTATAGTTGGCTCCTCATATCACCTATCAGGTCCTTGTCCATCCTGTTGACAAACGTAGTCACCAAGAGGCGTTCTTCCATACACCCCATATCCTCCGCCAGTTCCAGCAGTCTATTGTAATAGGCTAGCAGCGACTCCGAAGCAACGCGCATGAAGTTCTGAAACTCTGTCATCCGCTCTGCCGAGTGCCCCGGGAATTGCTCTTGCAAGCTCTCCAAGAATCGGTCCGTAATCGCCGCAGGTAAGAAATCTCCTCTCTTGCACTACATCAAAAGCCCCTGCCTTTCCACACGGTAATGAGTCAAAGCCTCGCCCTTAAGGGTCCTCCCCAAACCTCTGAAGAATTCGATGGGGTCCAATATTTCCCTCTCCCAGAGATAACGCAGGTCGTCTATCATCATCAGGTAGTTCTTGAGCGTGGGTTCTTCCCCTGGCGTCCTCGAGAAACGGTCCGACACCTTAATCTTTGGTAGAGCTGCGCTCATCGTGTGGCCTGTTCCCCAGCTTGTGGTCCCTCTATCCCCACTTTCCGCAGGCAGACCACCTCTTCCAGCCTCCATAGCTTCGTATCCTCCCGCCGAGAAGCCGTGGTACGCCTCTTCCCCTCTCTGACTGCGTCTTTCTTCGTGATGCTCATCCTCCTCGCGCTGACTGCGACGCTCTTCTCGATACTCTTCCCCTCCCCAAGCAGAAGTACCTCCTCGAGATCCACTCCCCACAGGGCGGATTCCACTCCCACCGGCGGGTGATTCACAAGCAGAGCTAGGCGGCTGCTCTCCCTGCCCGCCGCCTTCCTTCTCTCGATCTGATCCTTGGCTCCCGCGAGCATTAGCATCGCCTTCCTCGACCCGAAATCCAGGCGTCCTGATCGGCAGACCTTGTCCCTCCATCGTCCTTGCAGGGAAACGAAGTCCCGAGCGCAGTTGATGAGTGTGAAGTTCTTGATCGTGCCTACTCATTCCTCACGGCGCATCACCGTGAGCGACTCCAGGCAACTAAGCGTATCTCCTGTACTTTAGACAGTCAACAACCTTTCTGCTTGTATGTAGCAAGCATGTCACTCCCCTTAGGACTCCGTCAAATTGCTTATAGCTCCTCCAACTGCTAGTTCCCTCTGGATTAGGAAAGCTTAATTGCAGTAAAAGAGAAACATACAAGCAAAAAGCAAGAACCCCGAGTGCTACTCCTGCCTACATCTATTCCCACCCCCTGCCTAGGTTGCTTCCTCCACAAGCAAGCTCCTGTGCACCAAGCAAGTCAGCCGAGCTGCTCGCGAGGTCTCCAAGGTGCTAGCTGGGTTCCCACTGGGCCCACTAGGCATGCACCGCCTTCCAGCCTGGTGACTTCGAATTGAATTCCCAGGCTGTCATTGAATTCGCCTTCCAGCCTGGTGACTTCGAAATTGAATTCACAGGCTGGAATTGAATTCGCCTCCACCAGCCACCTTGAATTCGCCTCCCACTAAACACCTCAAATTCCCCAGCTAATCGGCTCTGCAGTACAGTACGATACACTCCAAGCACACAAATGAAATTAGAGTACAAAAGCGATAAACTATAGTACACCCTCACCTTGGCTGCTGTGGAATTCACACTTAGTTGCCAGCTAAGTGTTAATAACGCGACGAGGTGCAGGAGTTGAATCAGCCGCGTGCCATGGAGGAGGTAGCAGCTTGTGAGGAACAGCAGATGATAGAAGACCTGAAATTGAATGTCGAGTTGGAAATGAGCCAGAGTAAAGGCGACCGGGAGGCTGCATGGCAGGTGAGGGTTGAGAGAAGTATTTCACTGGTGAGAGGATGCCTTGCTTCCTGATTCTTCTTATCGCCGTGGTCATCCATCCCCTTGTCATGTTTTCCCCAACCCACGCATTCCATCCAGGCAATCAAGTCGGCATCACAGAGGTCATTTATGAAGCTAAAGAATCTCTGCGGCCTCTCAGACGATTTGCTCGCCCATGTGTCCACAATGTCGCATCCGACGAGAATTGACTTGAAATCTAGCTCAGGCTTCAGTGCAGAGGGCATCAAGCACCTCTACAGGCTGACTGCCCTGACCAAGCTGACAACTCTCTTTCCGCCAGAAGGGGGTACGATTATTAACGCTGCCGTACGCAGGCAGATAGGCAGGTAGGGTGGCAGGGAGTGATGATGGAAAGGGAGGTGAGGTGAGGGAGGAGTTGCCTGAGACTGTCTAGGAAAGGCTGAGGAGAAGCGTGGAGGGAAGGGGTGTTAGAGTGAGGGGAGGCATTTATGCGGAGGAGTGAGGCATGCAATGGTGGTTGTGCACGGCTCAACTTGCATGCTGCAGAGCGTTGGAGAATGGTCAACTGGCTTGTGCCTTGCAGGTGGACAGAATAAGGTGCAGGGCTGGCTGGGCAACAGACCACTGTGTGCTTGAGGGGAGCTGCATAGGAATTTCCTGCCTTTCTTTGTTTATGATGGAAGGGGAAACGCTCATCAGCAGGGCTGACGGGGAAGGGGAGGGGGGAGGCGAGGCGGAGCAGGAGGGGAAGGGGAGGGGAGGGGGGGAAGCTGGGGACAAGGGCGAGAAAGGGAGAAGTGAGGGAGGCGAGTATGGTGGGTGGCAGTAGAAGTGGTGGTTGCAGTGGTAGCAGCAGCAGTGGTGGCAGCAGTGGTGGCAGCAAAGGCAGCAGCAGTGACAGCAGCAGGGGCAGCAGCAGGGGCAGCAGCAGGGGCAGCAGCAGGGGCAGCAGCAGGGGCAGCAGCAGAGGCAGCAGCAGTGGCACGCAGCAGAAGCAGCGACGGGCAGGTTCAGGGGTGAGTAATGTCTCGTGTGGTTGCAAGAGGGGAGCTGCATATGAATTGCTGGCTGTGTGGGTGCAGGGTGTACACATATCTTCACAGAGGAGAGGGTAATGTCTGTAAAATCTTCAAGGAGCTGATGGAGCTGAGGGTGTGACGGAGCTGTAAGGCATTGCACCTTAGTAAAATCTGCTCCAATAATACCCACTGGGCAATGTTGAGATGGCAAATATTGGGCCTGAGAGCCTGGACCTGGATGGCACGAGGGCCAGGGAATATTGTGAAATCTGAGGTCCCTACTGTTGCCGCGAGGTAGTTGAGTGTGCAAAGAGAAGGGGAGTGGGTGGAAGAGAGTATGATGAAGATGGCACCATATTGGAAATCTTGCGATTGTACTGAAGAAAGTTGGGGCTTGATGAGGCTTGCCTGAGCAGATGGTAGAATGAACTTGTGCTTTGACCTAAGATTGCAGCGCTGTATGAAACATCTCAGGCAAGTTGCACACGGGTGACATTGAGCTTGGATCGTACTGAAGCTTGTAGTATATGCACCACTGTTTTTGTTGTCCAATTTGAAATGCTCCAAAGTTATTCACCACGATGCACGGCTGATATAGCGTAATCACGATTGCATATGCCTGAAAATTTCCACCACAATCATTCGTATCAAAACATAGGCATGCATGCAACAGCTTGCCAGGGGACTTTTTTATGGCTACGCTGGGTTGCATGGTATGATCCATGGGATGGAGGGCAGAGGTGAAGAAGATGTGGGACTGTGCCTGCATTGGAAAAGATAGAAGCTACACATGCTGCTCCATCACCCACCCATACGGACCATTCACTGGCATGCAGGAGGCAGGTAGGAGATAAATAATCTCTTAGAATGATAATGCCTCAAAATGATCTGCTGCACTGTCCCTGCATTGAGGCATGTGCAGGTCAATGCAGCTGCAGCGGCCCAGTTGGTTAGGTGGTGGTCGTCAATTTTCCCTTCTACTATAAGTGAACAACTCCGTGGATCGAGCTGATATGAGAAGGGAGATGGAGGGAGGGCGGGCAGAACGGGAGGAGGGGAGGATAAATGGGTGCGAAATGGGGAGTGGAGTGAAGGTTAGACAGAAGTGTGTGCTGGTGGGGAGGGAGGGGGGGAGGGGAGGGAAGCGGGAGGGGGAAGGGGAAGGGGATTGTGATATCAAAAGTAAGGGTGATAAGAGGGGAGCGATGATAGCTGGTAGAGAAGGCCGACACTGCTTATCAAATCAATGCTCCCTCACATCCATATGAATGGCCCCATATTTTCCGTTTCAGCAAATGACTCACAAACCCCACTCACATTAACTTCAAGGCTCTCTCTGCTGCAGCAACGTAGGCAGAATTGTGGTCTCCTTCCTTGATACGCGTGGCGAGGCAGACGAGCACACCCTCCAGTGGCTCTCTATCTTCAAGGCTCTTCCTTGATACGCGTGGCGAGGCAGACGAGCACACCCTCCAGTGGCTCTCTATCTTCAAGGCTCTTCCTTGATACGCGTGGCGAGGCAGACGAGCACACCCTCCAGTGGCTCTCTATCTTGGTCAGTTCAGCACATCGGAGGAGATTCTGAGGGCATTGTCCGCTGATATGTGTCTGAGGGCATTGTGCGCTGATGTGTGGATGATGATTGTGCGCTGATGTGTGGATGATGATTGTGCGCTGATGTGTGGATGATGATTGTCCAGCATGTACACACACTGCTTGCATGTCACGGGTGTGCTGAGTAGCAGCTCCTCCACTCCCACCACGCGTGGCTGGGGAGGGAAAGGGGACGGAAAGGGGAGGGGAAGGGCAAGGGGAGAGGGGGGTGAGGGTAGGAGGGTAGGAGGGGAGAGGGGAGGGGGGAGAGGGGAGGGGAGTGGGGAGGAGAGTGGCTACGTTGGCAGATTCGCATTTCTCGTATAATACGCAAGCGTATAAGCGCTATTCGCTAGTTGTCCAGTTTTGAAACATGCGAAAATTCACTGGAGCGGGCAGAAAAAAAACGCTTTCCGGGCAGGGGGGAAAAAACCTGTTGTAGGGTTGTGGCGTAGTGGAACAAGAAGACCCTTCCCAAAAACTTAACTATCCATATCAAACGACACAGATTTCAATTTCTTCGCATAAGTCCTGCAATTTCCTAAAATGCGTGAGATTCGCATCAACGGCCTTGTGGCTGTCACTAGATCCTTCGACTGACGTTCCATTGTTGGATGTTGAGGGAGTGGATCTCGCCATGGTGTGCAACAATTAATGCTAAGGCCACGCTGATTGAGCGGACATATATGAATCGGAAGCCGAGAAATGCCGGAGTGAATGAGCTTTGCAACATTTGTGGACCTGAGTTGTGGAGAAGTAAAGGTGAAGGGAAGGTTGCGTTTGGGAGATTGAGCTGGGTGGTGTATGGTTGAGGGGTAGGGCTTGGAGTTCGATATTTGAATTTCAGATCGGCGTTGATCCCTCTGCGATGTCGAGGTAACAACTTTTGACATCGCAAATTGTTGAGATATACAAAACTTTTTTATTTCTTTTTCTTTTTTAGGCTGCCCGACCAGTTTTTGGCGATTTCTACAGTAACTTGTAATAATGAAATCGTAGATACGTGATACGCCACCATCCTCAATGCGTATTTGCCATCTAAGAGGAGCGGGAAGGGATTGGGAATGGGAGGGGGATCAGAAAGAGAGGAAAGGGGAAGGGGAGGGGAGGGGGAGGAAAGGGGAGGGGAAGGAGTGGGGAAGGGGAAGGGAAGGAAAAGGGAAGGGAAAGGGGAGAGAAATTGGAGGGAAAGGGCAGGGGAAGGGGAGGGAAACGGGACACAGGAGGAGAGGGAAGGGGAGGGGAAAGGTATGGAAAGGAGACAGAATGGAGGGAGAAAAGGAAAAACGTCATCCTAACTTTAGCCAGCTCGCGACATACCAGCTTACACACACTAATAAAAACACACTGAACGGACCCGATTCTTTTGCAATGAAAGCATCAGCTTGGCGTCAACAGGCCGCATGCGTCGTTCACCAACCCTTGAGTCTTGACCATTCATTCCAGCACCATGCATGCAGCCCAACCCTTCCCCAAGGAAGGAGGGCATCAACTCCGCGTGGACTGGCCTATCAGCGCTGACGGACGGGGGGGCCAGCGCCATGCATCCCAGCACCATGGTGCCCAGCACCATGCCGGCCAGCACCATGTCGCCCAGCACTATGCCGCCCAGCACCATGCCGCCCAGCACTATGCCGCCCGGCACCATCCCGCCCAGCACCATGCCGCTCGGCACCATGCCGCCCAGCACCATGCATCCCAGCACCATGCATCCCAGCACCATGCATCCCAGCACCATGCATCCCAGCACCATGCATCCCAGCACCATCCCCCAACACCATGCAGCCCAGTTGTTTCCCAATGAGGGCATGAACCAGCCCGTCACCGCCCCCTGACTGTGCGCCCCCTGACTATGCAGCCTGGTACTATTCGGCCTGGTACTATGCGGCCTGGTACTATGCGGCCTGGTACTATGCGGCCTGGCACCATGCAGGCCAATTGTTTCCCAATGAGGGCATCAGCTTGGCATGACCAGCTTGTCCACGCTGATAGGCAACCAACACTACACAATTCAATTACTTTTATGTCCAAATGTGTGCCAGTGGTCTAGTGGTAGAATAGCACCCTGCCACGACATTAGCTCTGGTACCACCTGGGCCTTGGATGTTTCTATTGCTGATCCACAAAAGGGGTTTCCACACTCCAACGCAGCTACGGTGATTGGTTCAGCAGCAGCCACTCGTGAAAGTGAGAAGACCACCCACTATGCTGCAGCACTTCGTGACCGTCCAGACGTCAAACTGTTTCCCCTTGTCATCGAAACCTTCGGTTACTATAGTGTCAATGAAGAGGTAGAATAGCACCCTGCCATGAGCCCGGTGCAGACCCGGGTTCGATTCCCGGCTGGCACAGGAAGTCTTGTTGTGATTTTTTTTGCAGGCCAGACCCGTTGAGCATTTTCCCATACCCCTTCCCATTTCCGCCACGCGTTTCACCTTCCTCCCCATCCCCTTAACCAGCGGTGGCCATCTCCTCTCTCCCCCGAACGTACACCAGAACAGTTTCAAGTGAACCTACACTCCCCCACTCTCATCCTCTTCTTTCCAATCATCAAAGTGGAAACTCACCGTTGGGGTGCAGCCTGTGGTGCAGGTTGCCCCTCTCCACCAGCTCATACACCAGAATCGTCCAGTCGCCCTCAATGCAGTACCCCAGCAGCCGCACCAGGTTGGTTGGGGTGGTTCAGATCGCCCAGCACTAGGATCTCCGCCTGTGGTGGGAGGAGAGGGAGAGGAATGGGTATGTGCAGTGAGGGGGGAAAGGAAGGGGAATGGGAGGGTGCAAGGGAGGAACACAGCAGTGCAGTATTTTATGCCGTACCCAAGCAGCTGCACCAGGTTGGGGTGGCTCAGATTGCCAGGTATTAGGATCTCCGCCTGTGGTGCAAAAGGTGCACAATAAGGGGCGAGGGAGATGAGAGGTGCGCGATGAGAGAATAGGGAAAGGGTGGGGATGCAAGGGAGAGGAGCGCAGCAGTGTTGTCCTCAATGCAGTAACCCAACAGCCGCACCAGGCTGCGGTGGTCAGATCGTCCAGCACTAGGATCTCCGCCTGTGAGACAGGAGATGCACAGTGTGTAGGGGGAGGAGTGAGAGGAGACAGGGGTTGCCAGCTTTATATTCAATAAAACATCGAAAGATGGACACATCAAACGTTTTGTGAGGCGCCTTGGAAGTCCCGACCAATCAAACGCCTTCACGCTGTCACTCAGTGCGAAGCCAATTCCTCACTTGCCACACCCATTCCACTCTCGCCTCTCACCAGGCAGTCGCCTTGACACTGTCAGTATGAAGCACCTTCAACGCCCCCTCCCCCAAGCCCATCCACTTCCCTCTTCCTCCATATTTCCCCCCTTTTTAGCTCACTCTCCCCACTCCCCCCTACTCATTCCTTCCTTTCACTCTCCCCTCACCAGGCAGTCATCAAACGCCTTCATGCTTTCCGTGGGACGTACCTTCACCGCCACCTCTCTCCTGCTGCCACGTACCAGCTCTCCCAGCCACTCGTCCACCTGTCCGTGGAAAACGGTTTTGAAGCTGCCCTTGACGCTTCTCACGGGTGGGCAAAGGTGCAACGGAGGGAGGCATCATGGCAGGAGTACTAACAAGCAGCATGCATTGCAACTGTTGCGGTCTCGACACATCTCTGTTGGACATGCCAGCACCTGCCGCCGTCACCAACACCTCATCTGTTCCTTCACTCCCTCCGACTTCTCTCAACTCTTTTCCTCCTTCTCTCTTCCTTCACCTCCTACTGCTTCCTCTTCTCCCTTGTACCTAGGGATGAGCTAAGGGCGAACACGAACTCTCAAACACGCCCTTTTGCCGAACCGGACACTGTTCGGTTCGGCGAACAGTTTAGGCAAAAACAGGTGTTCGCCGTTCGCCTGTGGAGGCGTGTTTGGGGGAACCTCGAACACGTTCGGGCGAACGATTTAAGCTGAAAAACAAAACCTGTTCGGTTCGCCTCGTTCGTTTCTTTGCTCATCCCTACTTTGGAGCAAGTTCTCCAAATGCAACTCCTCGACTCTTTGGAGCAAGTTCTCACCAAATGCAACTCCTCGACTCTTTGGAGCAAGTTCTCACCAAATGCAACTCCTCGACTCTTTGGAGCAAGTTCTCACCAAATGCAACTCCTCGACTCTTTGGAGCAAGTTCTCACCAAATGCAACTCCTCGACTCTTTGGAGCAAGTTCTCACCAAATGCAACTCCTCGACTCTTTGGAGCAAGTTCTCACCAAATGCAACTCCTCGACTCTTTGGAGCAAGTTCTCACCAAATGCAACTCCTCGACTCTTTGGAGCAAGTTCTCACCAAATGCAACTCCTCGACTCTTTGGAGCAAGTTCTCACCAAATGCAACTCCTCGACTCTTTGGAGCAAGTTCTCACCAAATGCAACTCCTCGACTCTTTGGAGCAAGTTCTCACCAAATGCAACTCCTCGACTCTTTGGAGCAAGTTCTCACCAAATGCAACTCCTCGACTCTTTGGAGCAAGTTCTCACCAAATGCAACTCCTCGACTCTTTGGAGCAAGTTCTCACCAAATGCAACTCCTCGACTCTTTGGAGCAAGTTCTCACCAAATGCAACTCCTCGACTCTTTGGAGCAAGTTCTCACCAAATGCAACTCCTCGACTCTTTGGAGCAAGTTCTCACCAAATGCAACTCCTCGACTCTTTGGAGCAAGTTCTCACCAAATGCAACTCCTCGACTCTTTGGAGCAAGTTCTCACCAAATGCAACTCCTCGACTCCGTATCCCGAACTCACGCTCTTGCAGCTAGCACAAGACAGGTGCTGTTGGCGTGGGGAGGGGAAGTGAGTGGGGGGAGAGTGGATCGGGGGAAGGGCAAAGAGTAGGAACGCACAGCCGCATGAGGAGGGGGAGTGGAAAAGAGCTGATGATTTTGTACTTGGAGAAGTACCGCTAACACTCATTTATCCACTAGCAAAGTCGCGTCAAATGCAACATACTGGGAGCAAAGGACAGACGGACAACCAGCAAAATGGATGAATGAAGTAAGAGAGATAGAATGAACAAGTGATTCAGATTCCTGCACCTATTTGGCTTCTTTCACCTCCGTTTTTGCACGTTGCCCTGCCTGCCTTCAGCTGAAAAACCATTCGCAGTGATGGCATGTGATGATGCCATGTGTGTTCACCTCTTCATTTCTTTGCGTGCAACCTAAAGCCCCCTATGTTCAGCATATGAGCAGCGTGCAGCTAATGCCCTCTTACACGTAAGTCATATCAGGTCTGCTGCTTCTCTCGACACCCTCCATTCCTCCCTCCTCGTCTGCATGCACCCACTTCTCGCATAAACGTACTCTCATCATGGCTCTGCCATGCTGCCAGGCCGTATGTGGCAGCGATGAGTTGGGCGACTCATGACTTGTTGAATCAACAGGTGGGTACCGTGTCAGATGGGCTTAAGCAGCAGCAACCTCCAGTGCTGTGAGCTGCTCACATGCAGGGAGGCACACCTGTTGGACAGCGTGGGTCAAGCAAGCAAGAAAAGGCACAAAGGGTCTGTGAGTGAAGCGAGTGAAACGAGGCAGTGAAGCGAGTGAAAAGAGGCAGTGAAGCGAGTAAAAGAGGCAGTGAAGCGAACAAAAGAGGCAGTGAAGCGAGTAAAAATGGGCACAAGGGGACGCAAGTGAAGCGAACAAAATTGGGCACAAGGGTATGAGATTGAAGCTCGAAAAAATAGGCACAAGGGCCCGCGCATGAAGCAAGCACAGCGGGCCACAATGGTGAGAACTTGCTCCAAAGAGTGACCATAAGAGAAATGGCTGGAGCAAGAGCAGCGAGTGCAATGAATGAGGGCTCAGGCAAGTGGACGACTCGAAATCTGTGAGGGTTCTGGTTGGCAGAGGAGTTTTGAGTCGACTCTTGAGTTTTGAGTCGACTCTTGAGTTTTGAGTCGACTCTTGAGTTTTGAGTCGACTCTTGAGTTTTGAGTCGACTCTTGAGTTTTGAGTCGACTCTTGAGTTTTGAGTCGACTCTTGAGTTTTGAGTCGACTCTTGAGTTTTGAGTCGACTCTTGAGTTTTGAGTCGACTCTTGAGTTTTGAGTCGACTCTTGAGTTTTGAGTCGACTCTTGAGTTTTGAGTCGACTCTTGAGTTTTGAGTCGACTCTTGAGTTTTGAGTCGACTCTTGAGTTTTGAGTCGACTCTTGAGTTTTGAGTCGACTCTTGAGTTTTGAGTCGACTCTTGAGTTTTGAGTCGACTCTTGAGTTTTGAGTCGACTCTTGAGTTTTGAGTCGACTCTTGAGTTTTGAGTCGACTCAAAAGTCATCTGTGAGGGTTCTGGTTGGCAGAGGACATGTGGGAGGCAGGCAGGCAGGTGACAAGTGGGGATGCAGGAGACGCAGGCGCACAGCTGGTGGGGCAATCATTGTGTTTCTGGCAGAGGCGCCGCTGGTAATGGTCCATCGGTGGTGCAGCGGTGGGTGCGAAGCATCATCCCGGTGAGGCAGGGTGCAGGTGCCAGAGAAGAGCCACTCAGAGTACAATCAACCAAGCCGTAGACTACAGGCATGCAGAAACACAACACAATGGGAAAACAATGGGTAAGAGAAAAATCGCAGTGACTTACTCTCTTGAACAGCTGAGTGCACTCACTGGAGCTCTCATCATCCAGGTGCGAAAACGTCTCCCTCTCCTCATCCTCCACCACTGCAAACCCCTTCTCCCTGCCCCTCCCCTCGCTCCCTACATTCCCCGTCCCTATTCCCCCCGTCCCTACTCTCCCCGTCCCTATTCTCTTCTCCCCGTCCCTATTCTCCCTGTCCCTACTCTCCCCGTCCCTACTCTCCCCGCCCCTACTCTTCCCGTCCCAACTCTCCCCATCCCTACTCTCCCTCGTCCCTACTCTTCCCGTCCCTATTCTCCCCGTCCCTACTCTCCCCGTCCCTACTCTCCCCGTCCCTACTCTCCCCGTCCCTACTATCCCCGTCCCTACTCTCCCCGTCCCTATTCTCCCCGTCCCTACTCTCACCGTCCCTACTCTCCCAGGCCCAATTCTCCCCGTCCCTACTCTCCCCGTCCCTACTCTCCCCCTCCCTACTCTCCCCGTCCCTTCTCTCCCCCTCCCTTCTCTCCCAGTCCCTACTCTCCCCGGTCCCTACTCTCCCCGTCCCTACTCTCCCCGTCCCTACTCTCCCCGTCCCTACTCTCCCCGTCCCTACCCTCCCCGTCCCTACTCTCCCCGTCCCTACTCTCACCGTACCTATTCTCTTCTCCCCGTCCCTACTCCCCCTGTCCCTACTCTCCCCGTCCCTCCTCTCCCCGTCCCTATTCTCTTCTCCCCGTCCCTACCCTCCCCGTCCCTACTCTCTCCGTCCCTACTCTCCCCGTCCCTACTCTCCCCGTACCTACTCTCTCCGTGCATACTTCCATCGTCCCTATTTCCGCCTGCCTATTTCCCGTCCCTATTTCCGCCTGCCTATTTCCTTTATCACCTCGCATCACTCCGTGCCACCGCAGTCCCACGCATCCCTCCACCAGTGGTGGCGCGCATCTCACCCGCCTCGTCACAAGCACACCTGCCGCTTCAGTTCCGCCCACGCGGCTGCAGGCGAGCCTGGCGGAAGGGCGGTGGGCGCGCGCCAGGCGAGGCGCGCAGCACCGACGTGCACCGCGTGACGCTGCTGCCGCTGTGACTGGACCAGCGCGCACCATCTATATTCCCCAACGAAACTGACCCTGGTCTATCGTAAATACTGAACTAGTCGCTGGTTCTTCAATCGAAAGAACGTGCTGCCAGCTTTTTCCACCTGTCCTTTGCGATCCCCTGCTGTGCTCGCCATGAGTGTGAAACGATTCTCGCTAGAAGCGGGCTTACGATTGTGGATAGTGCGCGGAATCAGTGAATATCGGGAGTGCGATAACAGGGCGATGTTCGGCAGCCAGGGGAGAGGGTTTGAGGGAGGATCAAAATGCCGGGCCACCAGGTTCGACCTTGGAGAACAAGGCAAAACAGTGCGGTCAGGACAAGAAAAATGTGAAAAACAGTCCGAACGTGGGCCTTCAATGCGACGCGAACCCCATGATAGAGTGTCGCCCGCGCCGCATCCCCCCCACAAACCCCCCCTTGGCGGAAAGCCTCCGCACTGGAGGGGGGGAATGAAACTTGGATTCCCTGGCCTGCCGCTCAAAACCGAAGAATCCAGCCAGATCCCGCGGTCAATCCCCTCCTATCAAACATGGCATTACCCTGAAAAGAAAGTCAAAAACAAAAAGGTATCCCACCCAACTTCCCTCTCAACATTCGCCACTCGACATCTATCTCTCAACTTCGCTCCCTCTACCGCACTTATCTCCTTCCATCCCTATTTATCAGCAAGGCTATATTCGTCATTTGCCATCTGTTTCTAATCTTCCCATGCGTTTGGTTCAGCGGGACGCTCACACCTCACTGTTCTTCCCCTTTTTTTAAAATCCAGTTTTTACCCTTTTCACCCATGCGTACAGTGTGTCGGGCATTTGTTTTTGGCATGCGACAACCCTTTTGTAGGGTGGAAGTTTCTCTTCCTGTACGGTGCAGCTTCCACCCCCCCCCCCCCGCCATCTCGTTGTTTCCATCCCGCGAGCTCCCCCCGACTCTCCGCTTGCGCCAAGACCTCGGACGTGGGGTCAACTCTGGTGGACCCAGAGTTGTGTTAGAATCTTACGGGAGAAGTGAGTGTCGACTATCGAGCGAAAAAGTACAAAGGAGAAACCTAAGGGGTTGTACCCCACAACGAGTACCCCACTAAGCCTAACCAACCTATAACATATATACACATATGTTTGACACACCCCCATAGGCAAAGTGGGGGAGAACAGAGGGTCACAAGACCAATCAGGAAGTGCAAAGCAAGCTCAGGGTGGATCACAACGTCACCACGCAGTCTGAGCACAAGCAAGAAGGCCACAAGGCCAGTTCACATGCAGAAATATATATGTAACAACAACAGTACAGTGATATCTACCTACAAGAACAAGCATGCAGGAATACATATAAATCATGGTACAAACAAAGCCTAAAGCAAGTGAGGAAGAGTGGGCACAAGGCCTAACAAAGTGCAGAAACGCTGATGATCACCAGGCGGAAGCGCCTTGGTGAATATATCAACAGTGTTGGCCCGAGTGGCCACGTAGGTAAGACGAAGCTGGCCACGCTGCTGCAGCTCTCGAGCAAGAAGTAACGGAGAGCGATGTGCTTCGTTCTGTGCTCCAGTCTGTGCTCCTGACACAAGGCAATGGCGGCCTTGTTGTTGACGTACAGCACTGGAGGAGAACTAGGCCGCTCTCCCAAGTCAGTCAGCAGGTAGGTGAGCCAGCGAAGCTCCTGTGCAGCCATGGCTGTGGCGTAGATCTCAGCCTCACAACTGGAGCCGAGAACTGAAGACGAGCGTGTAGAACGCCAAGAAACTGAACCAGAGCCAAGGCTGAAGGTGTAACCATGTGACGACCGCTGCGTAGCCTGGTCGTCAACCCAAGAGGCGTCCGAGTGACCTGTGAGGACAACGTCACCCCGTCCTCCAAGCACGAGCCCCATGCCCGATGTACTGCACAAGTATCGCAACACCCTCTTCGCAGCATCCATGTGCATCTTTCGGTGCCGACCAGGAGCCACGTAGCGAGCCAGAAGGCCAAGAGGGTACGCAAGGTCAGGACGAGTGCAAGTCATCAGGTACATGAGGCAGCCCACTAACTCTGGGTAAGGACCACTCGGCTCTATGGACTCGTCCGAAGGTGGAGCTGAGAGCGAGTGACCTGTAGCCAGAGGAGTGGCCTGTGCTGAGGACCAGGTGAAACCGAAGCGCTGAAGGACCTGCTGCACCATGTGTGACTGAGTCAGTGTGATGGTGCGGCGTGCTCTGTCCCGGGTGATCTGCAAGCCAAGGTAGCTGCGCAGTTCACCCAGGTCTGTGCACGTGTGTCTCTTCTGCAGCTCCGACTTCACCAGGGCGAGAGCCTCAGTGTCAGCAGTGGCAAAGACCAAGTCGTCGACGTACACGAGAATGTAGAACGGCGGCAGCGAAGTGTCGGTGCGCAAAAACAGCGACGGGTCAGCAGTCGACGGAGCAAACCCAAGAGCCGCAAGTGTCGTCCTCAGTGTGTCGTGCCACTCACGTGGCGCCTGGTGGAGACCGTAGACCGGCCGCCGGAGGCTCCACTGGGTACCAGGAGGGAACGACCCAGTGAAGCCAGGAGGGCGGCGCAGCCAAATCTCCTCGTGTAGGCTGCCCTGTAAGAAGGCTGTGCTGAAGTCAAGAGAGTGAAGCTCGTAGTCACGCTGAGCGGCAACGTGCAGCAGCACCCGAAGAGTGGTCATCGTCGGGGTGGGGGAGAAGGTATGGAAGAAGTCAACTCCCTCTCGCTGACTGAAGCCTCGAGCCACGTAACGAGCCTTGAAGACAGGCGGAGAACCTGGAGGTCGCTTCACCCTGAAAATCCACATGCCACTGACAATGTTCGCCCCAGGAGGGGGAACCTCGTCGACGTAGGTGCCTGTGGACTTCCAAGATGCCATCTCTGCGTCCATGGCTGTCTGCCACTGAGAGGAGTACTCACCCGCAATCGCCTCAGCGTAAGAGCGCGGGGTAGGGATGTCTGGTGCATCCGGGTCTCCCTCAGGGGCAAGCAGCATGGACACGAGATGAGGCGCAGCGGCTACAAGACACTCAAGGTCCTCTTGCCTGTCCTCAAGGACGTCCTTGCCAAGAGCACACTCACCCCCAACGGACGGAGGACAGACAGACTCAGACTCAGCAACAACACTGGCGGCGTAGTCGAGACGACAGTGAGAAGCAAAGTCAACAAGCTCAGCGACTAAGGCAGACGCAGCAACAGACTCAAACGACGGGTCAGTGACAACAGTGGCAAGCAGACGCGTGACAGTAGAGTGCTCAGCACGAAACCGGTCAGACGCAGGGTCAGCAACGACAGGAAGAGAGGACGCAGGGGGAGACGGCAGAGGAACACGACGACCGGAACTGACAGGGGAGACAGGACGCGACATAGGCTCACGACGCTCTGCAAGGCCACCAGGCTGCTCTGTGTACGGAGAAGGAGCAGGCAGCGGTGAGCCAGGCTGTAACGAAAGACCAGTAGACGAGGGAAGACTGAGAACCTGGCGAAGTGCAGAGTCAGGTGGTGGCTGAGACGACGGAGACGGCGGAGCAAAGAACAGGCGCGGCTGAGTAGTGCCACCAGCAGCTCCAGTACCCCCAGCAGCTCCAGCACCTCCAGCAGCTCCAGCACCCCCAACGGCTCCAGCACCTCCAGCAGCTCCAGCACCTCCAACAGCTCCAGCACCTCCAGCACCTCCAGCAGCTCCAGTACCCTCAGCAGCACCACCACCAGCCCCAGCAGCTCCAGTACTCCCAGTACGAGCACCTCCGGGACCAGCGACACCAGCAGAAGAACCTCCAGCAGGAGAGCCCTGAGGTGCAGAGGTGGGACGCCGACGGCGACCGTACCAGTCGTGCAGCTGCTGGGAGGTGAGGGGCACACGCGGACGAAGACGGCTACTCCAAGGAGACCGCGTAACAGCAGTCTCAGAACCCTCAGGCAACTCACCCCCAGACTCAGCACTCCCAGGCTCCGCACACACAGGCTCAGCACCCCCAGACGCAGCACCTCCAGACGCAGTACCCCGAGACGCAGCACCTCCAGGCTCCACACGCTCAGCGCCCCCAAGCTCCGCACCCCCAAGGACAGCACCACTCGCAGCAGGTCCGGAGTCACCAGTGACCTCAACAGGCGCAGGCGCAGGGGGGTCTACCTGAGAGACACCTGAAGGAGCAGGACCTGGCGCGGGGAGGGGGTCTACCTGGGGAGGACCTGGGGCGAGAAAGAGCGGCGGGGGGGGGCGAGGAGCAGTGCAGTAGGGGAAGACGCGGTAAAAGGGGACCGACTCGTCAAAGGTGACGTCCTGAGACGCAAAGACACGGCGCGAGGCGGGGTCGTAAAACTGCCAGCCAGGCGCGTCAGGGACAAAGCCAAGGAAGACGCAAGGAATGGCGCGAGGGGAGAGCTTGTCCGCGGTGGTATCGCGGACAAAGAAACGAGCACCCCAGACCCAGAAACGCGACGCGTCGCCAACCTTCCCCGTCCACAGCAGTGTGGGCGAGGTCTCCGGCAAGGAGACACGGGGCCAAAGGTTGAGCTGATGCGCGGCGTACCGGACCGCAAACGGCCACAGAAAATGGGGGGCAGCCGCATGGATCATGGAGGTACGAGCGACCTCCATGACTAAGCCAATGCGGCGCTCAACAACCCCATTCTGCTGCGGAGAGGCCGGAAGCGTGAAAGTCTGGCGGATGCCGTACTCCGCACAGAAGGCTGCCAAGAGGTCTGAGGAGAACTCACCACCTCTGTCAGAGTGCAGACGCAGGACAGGAAAGTCCGACTGGAACCGCTCGCGGAGCTGGAGACGAGTAGCGCGGATCCAGGGGATCAAAACATCAGGGACATCCCCCTTGCGCTGCAAGGGGAAGACCGTGGTGTAGCGCGTGTAGTCGTCGACAACCAGCAGGAAGTACCGCTCGTGGCCCTGTCCACGGACGCGGGCTGGGCCCCACACGTCCAGGTGGAGAGTCTGCAGTGGAGCCTCTGTGGGAGGGAACGAGGAGGAGTGAGGAGCGGCGCGCTGCCGCCCCTCGACGCAGGG